CACCGTGAACCTTTATTTTGTTAATTTTAATGTTAATGTTAAATTTCTACCAAATTACTGTTAATGGATGCTTGCGTTAACTCACCGTAACTGTTTACGTTAACACGATAGTGCGTGTATGAAGCACACTGTAAGTCGATGAGAGAAATTTAAGATACATTCAAACGATGTCGCCACTTGCTCTGTAAAAATATTAAGGTCTCCCGTATTAATATCATCATCCCATATTAGGACGCTTTACAGTAATCTATAACCGAAAAACAGGAATATATTCACAATTAGTGAAAGTGTAAATAGGCGGCTTTTGGTTTTACCGTTTCTTGTAAAGCAATCGAATAAAAATATGTGAATAATACTCTACTCTAATTTGTATTATGGTGTATTTTTGAAATGAAATTAGGCAACGCACGTGAATTTATTCAAGGGTGGGCTATTAGGCGGGCGCTCGACTATGGAATGGGCAGTACCTTACCATGAAAACCAATGCCGGAGAATATGAATTGGTGGGTCTTAGCTTATAGCCGTTTATCTGTGACAAGGATCAAATTTCAATTTCATGTAACTATCCGCCCACTATACCGCGAAAATTTAAAAATATCTACTACTACACCTAAACTGTTAACATTATCCTTTAATTTCAACCTAAACGGCAACCAAGAGGTTATTATTGCTCAATACTAATTCAGTAATATGCGAGTACATAAAAATAATCAAATTTGAAGAAGTTGCTACACAAAACAGGACAATCGTATGTTTTAAAATTTGCCCATAAAAGCAAGGAATATATTGCACCGAACGCTATAGATTTCCAACCCGTTTCAAGACTGATTAAATAAATAAATTCTTGAAATAAATAAATTTCAAAACTCTACCTAAAAATAATCATTGTTACTGTTAGAGAAGTTAAGATATACAAAAAATTATTTACTAATTAAGTAGACATTTATTTCTTAAAGTAGTGTGGCTAGACAAGCAATAGTTTCAAACGTTGTTTCCGTAGATAGAAAAGATGAGGGAAAGTTTTTTCCCTAAACTTTGCTTCGTTTTGTCTCTTAGAATTTGTTTTGTAGTAAATTGTTGCCAAATTTATGACCACGTTTTAGATGTAAATTGCGAAATATAAAACAAAACAGGACATTTTACTAGCAGCAAAGATAACGGAAGCGAATTAAACATTGTGGAAATGGGTATATATACTTTTTTGTACTAAAACTAAATAACACAGCTAAAAATCAGATTTTTGATCAAACTTTTGAATTTTATAATACGTTTACACGAAGGACGATAATTGTATTTGGACAGTGCGAAAGTTTTTTAACTTTTTTGTTTTGCAAATATAAACCGGTTGGTATTAAACCTTGATCAATTCACAACAAATGAATATGATATTTGTTGGCTTTCGAAATGTCTGCGTTCCTCGGAATAATCGTGCGTAAAACTAACATGTACGATCTGACTATAATTATTGTTCTTCCAACTAGATAATTGTACGGGGTGGTCGTGATTGGAATTTTTTAACTTTAATAGGGAAAACCTAGTTTTAAAGTAGAAAGAGCAAAATCAACTTACGTGTCATGGGTTTGATTTTGGAAAAATTTAAAATGGTAGAAACCGCACTACCAACGGAGAAGTTTGAACTATTTTGAAAGTTGGCTATAACTTTTTTATTCATGAAAATTCTTTATTCGGATAAAATCATTATCGGAGTACTCTTTGCCATCGCGTACTTAGTTTTTTTTTATAACTTAAATGAGTATGAATTCATTATTTTATATGGTAACTTTAGTCTCAGTAAAGTCGACCAAGTATCAAAACTACGTTCTTTAATAAAAATTGTTGTAGTATAAAAAGTAATATACATTTCTAATAACATACAACATTGACCTAAAATAGTGTACCGTCTTTATAAAAATCAATGAAACCAAATAACAGCAAATCACTACTGTGCTATATCGCTTGTTCAACTCATTACTGCTTTGATACGTCTTAAGATAGTGTGGCTAATGTCATCATCTGGTATAAAACTGTACCAAATTTCTGTTCTGTATCTGTAAGTGTAAGTATAGCTCCACGTGGGCTATGACAGCTCCAAGAGCTCCCTGATTACCGTAGGGGGTAGATATGATTCGTCAAGCAAGACTTTACCCACAGAATGTGTTCGATTGCCTGCATGCCCTGCACGTGGGGATGCTACTCAAAACTCAATTATGCGAATTATTGTTCATTAAGAAAGGAATGACTCGTAAGAACACCTGTGGCCATGCGCAGCATTTTCCTGGACATAGTCATGTATGGTTGGACTGCTGTTTCGTTTTGATGTGTCAATAGTTTTCTAGTCAACAGTTGTAAAATTATTTCCGGAAGGTTTCCCTTACCAGCTCTTCAATGACCGACGTCGCCGGACCGACCGACAGGAAGTCGGCGCCATGATTGGCTCTGGAATGCGCTTGCTTTTTAATCCAACTAAGGATGACCATATTGTCGGCTGACGCGTCAACGAGGGCACGGTGACATTCTAATGGTAGTTCTGACGTAAAACGTAGTCTATTACACATACCGTTTTACCAATAACTTTGGTCCAGATGATTGCTCCTGCGGCTACAGCGAGCTCCGTCTGCAGCACACTGGGATTCTTACTCAAAGCCATCACAATGTTCAGTTTAAGATGTTTTCAGTATACTCTCGATCCTTTTTTACTCTTATTTATATCTGTTATGTTCATGCGTATATTCCCTCTAATGTTTGTCGTGTAGGGCTTGTCGAATATACATTTTGGCGCCCTCGCCTCCAATACTGGAAACGAGTTCTTCGCCTCTTTACAGACGCGATTCCGTCCTGCTTAAAGTTTCCCGATTAGTTGAATTATTGTTGATAACTCTTTGGTCTCTTCATTAACATAGGCACGACATACCTCTACATAAACAAAAATGTCTCTACCATTTTTAATAACATACCAATAGTAAAAAAGTTGTACTCATTTGTGAAAAAGGCAAGAATTATAGAAAAAATATTACGTATAGAAAAATGTACGTACGTCAGTGCATTTGTCTAGAAAAAGTGCCCTTATAATGTGTTTATCCGAACCCGAAATGTTTATAAACAAAAAAGTTACCGGCTATTTTCAAAAAGAACCAAATTGAAATACGAACCTCTATCTTGGTCGGTAGTGAGATATTGCAATAGGGTTTTTACATCAAATGTTACTCAAAAATCGATCCCATTAATCGATTTTGCTCTGTCTGGTTTAGAAATTGCGGTTTCCTTACAACCTTCATGTAGGTATGTATATTTTCGAAAAATATTGCTAGATGTTTAGTAACGAATAATGAATATCTTAAGAGCTCAGTTCACTGTGTTAGTTCCGATCTAACCTAAGTAATACTCTTTGTGTATAATTTATTATATTTTTACATGTAAAAATATATTTATTAATAAAATGGTTAGTTATTGATTGTTTTTCTTTTACATTAAGTTTCGAGGAAGTTACTATGGGAGTTTGTATTCATCCTTATAAAGGAACAAAAATTGGTCTAGGTGAAAACAATTGTCCCAAAGAAGAGCATAGGGTTCTGGATGACTTACACAGTAAATACTAATACAAATACGATTTCGTTTAGTATAGGATGATACCTATCTCAAAATCTGTAAACAATTACAGAAAAAAATAGTTTGAAATCATTTATACTTTTTAAATATTCCATTGTTATATATACAGTGTGTTTGTGTTCTCGTGGACAACTAACAACTTTTTCATTTTAAATAGAACACCCTGCAGATCATTACTTTTTTAAATTCTAGACATAATTCATATGTAATATCCGATCTTGACATATTTCGAATTTTCTATCAAAAGTGACGTGAGTCTAAATATATCTATTGATTTCTCCTACTGCAAGTCTTTGTTATACATTTGACATTGATGATCAACTAAAAGTAACAAAAAATTTAAATGTAAAAATCCTTTTTTTTTTTAATCTTATAATTTTATCGTATTTCGCTTTTAGAAAAGGGTGACTTTGTATAAGGTTGCCTCTTTGAAAAAGTTGGAGATTTCCAAAATAATAGCAATAAAGGTATTTATTCTTTGTAAAAATGCTATAATAACGAAACAAAAAAAAAACAATCGAGCACAACAGCAACGTCAATGTTTCGCTTTGCTGTTCGGAAATTAATGTTTGACTGTTTTATGCCACCTACCTTAGCTATTTTTGATTGTTATGGTTATTTTAATGCAACAAAATATCTTAAGTTTATAAACCTATTGAAAAAAAAACTAAATAGTATAAAAAATACTAACAATAAGTAAAACAAATTCAAAATATAATTTATTAATTGCAACATTCAGATAAACAATAATATAAAAATGAGATTTTTTATAATAAGGTTTGTTTGTTCCCTAGTAGATTATCAAAATTTTTCTATTACTCGTATACAGTTTTTTGAAGGATTTTTGTCCATTTGGATATTTTTCAGCAAATGTCTAAATGTTTTTGTCAAACGACAGTAAATAGTAGATGCAATTTCTGTAGTGTTCGATTGTTTTATTGATAATATTTTGAAATCTACAAACTTTTTAAATATTAAACCTTATAGTCAGTCACCTTTTCTATAAATGATAAAATTATAAACATTGACTTAACGATTTTTTTCAATGAAATTTTTAGTCTTAGTTTTTGGCCACCCTGTATTTATTGATTTGATATGTAACGTAGCTTTTCGTCGGAAAATTCGATAGATATATTGAGGACTTACAAACGTCACTTTTGCCTTCACATAGAGGGTGTTTTAAAACAACAAAATTGCCCGCGAAAATAAAAACATCCTGTATATACAACAATATAATATTTTAAAAGTGTTTTTGATAATTTTTTACAGGTTTCGGAGGGGTTCATAAAAGAAAGTTTCATTTATATTTTCTATTAGAAGATAACATGAAACTGTTATAATTAATTAAAGGGAAAGAGAGGTCGGGAGTTAGATGCAGGTTAAATAAAACAAAATTATAAAATAAAAGAACTATCTCATGTACATCAAATGACGTTTTTGTGTAAATAAATATAATATAACATTTAACAGACAGATAATAACACGAGTTGATAAAACATAGCCATTTTGGCACTGGAGTTCACCCACCATTTGGATGAAAATACAAAATTTTGACGGTACGTGGATGAGTATATATTTCGGCTAAGATTTAAGGCGTTTCAATACAAAAATTATAAAAACGTCTGTAGGAACATAACCCCATTTTGCAATCGCAAGTGTCACCTTATCCCGCACCACACGGCGTGGCTCTGTCACGCACCAAGACGTTGTCTCGAAACTTTATACCGGTTGTCCGAATTATCGCTATCACACCAATTTGAGTTCGCTCACGATCGTATACACGGCGATCCAAATAATGAGGAGCACTATAGTGCCCACAAAAAAGTACGTCTTCTTTTTGTGCCATGGGCTGTTGTTGGCTAAGTCGGGAGGTTGGAACCGTTGCCTCGCGCTTCGACAGACTTCGGGGGTACACGTGGTGGTTGCTTTCGTGGTCAAGTCTCCATTGGTTACGACGCTGTTCAGTTCGGTGCCGGCTTCCGAACCTTTGAAGGCTTTGTTTTCCATCTGGAATTTCAACGTAGTAGATCAAGATTATTTGCATTTTTAAAAATTAGACAAATATAATTTCATTTGATTACAGATCCTAATATTCTTCCGTCAACACGTTATAACAGGTTAGGGACACTATTGGTGGTCCATAATGAAGGCACCAAAAGCAATCCTAGATTAAATGTTTCTGATGACTAAGATACAGAGTGTTTTTAAAGTTCAGTTTTTGAAATTGTTATTTCTCTATAGCCCAAGCGGTTTATGAAATATCTACATTAAACGAGGCTGTTATAATCTCGCTATTTGTTTCACAACTTTTTTGTTGGTACCGTTCGGTTACCTTTTTTTTTGAAAATTATCAAAAATGAATAGGATTAAAAATACGTGCTTTCTTTTTGAAATGGGCTTATGAGAAGCTTATACCAACCAAGCTTAATAAAATTATTAAAAAACATACAGGCCGATCCATTAAAAAAAAACAATTTTAGTTTATGCAGTGTGATCAAAATAAGGATGGTATAGCAGGGGGATGTCAGAAACCATAGGAAATACAGGGTCGATTGAAAGGATGAAAGAATTTTATGAGAAACTTAAATCTGTCCCCAAAATGGCATAAAACAGAATTATTTTATTTGTAGGTCTAAATATATTAAATTAAATTTTCTTATGGGAGCCATATTGAATATTTTTATTATTAGATACGGTCACAATAACAAAATTTTATTTTTTTTATAGTAGACCATAATCGTTCTCGATAGATTTTCGGAAAAACAAAAGTTTTCACAATCCAGTTAAACTTTACACTAAGTTAAATAACGCTGATGTAAAAAGGTGTAAAGAAATATGAGTGCTGATGCTGACTGTGTTTGCTATTGATAAATATAATAATTGTTGAAGATATTCCTATCGATCACTAAGTTAACAACAAAAAGCTGTTTTGTAATTTGGATCGATACGTTTCGCATTGATTTAAATATAAAATAATACGTCATGCAATTTTTCAAACCAAACGCATACGCTCTGTCGAAGTTTCTCTTACTTTCGTATGTTATTTTATGAGCATTGTCAAATTTTTTGAATTCAACAAGAAATTGGAAAAGATTGAAATTATAAAGAAAGTTACATATCCTATGACTACGCTTGATGTCGAATGTGATCGTAAAGTTTCAATTGCTATTTGGGCAGACACTCTGTAGTGTCGCAATATTTGCATTTTTATTTTAAATGCGTGGGAGTAATATCGAATCACTTCAAAAGGAAATTTGATTCGAATTATCTTTATTAATGACTGACTGACGTAATACGATCACGTGTTAAGAAAGTACTTGAAATAAAAATTATTTATTGTTAAAGGTGCCTAAAATTTGATATTCTATTTAGTTGAAAGTTTTGATTAGTTGGTTTGCTTTTAATTTATTCCATTTATTGTTAACTGTCCCAATTTGAAGATTTTTTTTGTTTTCAGAAATGGCATGAAATTACTATTTCACTATCACAAGAAGCAGTAAAACCTGATTGTTGACAATACTCAATTTTATATATGCAGGCAACAATTTAAAAAGTATTTCTCATATAAATTTCTCATCAATATTAACACACCACCAAAATGTTGATCAAAGTTTATTTTTCGCTGATTCGATTTGGATAAATATTTTTTTATATTGTAGCTTAAATTTTCAGAAACGATTATATTATTTATTATATATTATTATATTATTATTATATTATTATATATTATATTATTAAATGAAAAGCAAAAATATCACAAATAGTACGAAGAGCATAAAAGACCTCAACCCAATAGAACACCACGGTAAAAATTGATGCGCCGCAGGAGACACTGTTATTTTAGTAGAGAAATTACTGATTTTCCGCACATTCTAACCTGTTTAACGAAATCCAGGCATATATTGAGAAAATATTGGGGTAAAAATGCCGCATTCAAACTTATTGATGATTTGTCACCGGGCATCTTGGTTAATGAATGCCGTAAGGTCATTGGTTAAAAAAATGTTTCTATTTTATATATATTATATAAGTTCTTGTATTAACGGCATGGGCAAAAGGGCCTTTGTATCTCTGGGGTAAGGCAGCTTAGAGATCATCAATCCGCACCCTTGGAAGATGTAGAACAAATTAAACGTCTGGTTCAAAGTGCGACTCCTGAATGTCAATCGGTTATGAGTAAAAAACTGGTTTTGCTTTGAACATGCCTAAAACTTAAATTTAAATAAAAATGTTTTTTATAACATCGTTTCTGAAGATTTAAACTACAAAAAAATTCACATATTCAACTCCATAAAAAAATCGAGTCAGCACTTCGCGAGAAAACGAACATTCGAATTTTAGCGGGGCTTTAATTTTGAAATATCTATCTAGTTCGTTATATTGCCGCATTTTGTTCGTCGAAACCGGAACAACATGCACGTGCAATACCAAAACTTTTTAGTAACCCTCTAAATAATTATGCTTACCTAAAATGTATGTACATAATTATTTTCTACACTTTTTTCTTAAAATTGGTCGCCGTATTTTATTAATGTTACATTTTAAAAGGCTTGTTTGTGCTTATTATAACGCTCAAACTCTATGATTGATTGATATTTTTTTAACATTTATAGTGTTCACCATTTATTTAACGAATTCGATTATAAAAACAAATTCAGGCCCATTTTTCAATTAACGGTCTAACTAAAACATGGAATATTTTTTAGAAGGTTATAAAAATATTATTTAACAAAACTGGATGGTTCATTAGAACAAAAAATTTTAGAATATAGAATAAAATACATTTAAAATCATTCGGTGCTATTATCAAAACGAGATAGTAAGGTATTGTTCTAAAAGGACAGAATTTTATTTTTGTCCTGTAAGTTTAAACATTCAATATGCAATTAAAAACAAAAATATTTGAGAGAGTCGATACAATTAACGACAAGAAAAATAACGAACATAATACTTAAAAATTGTTGCTATCAAAAGCAGAAAAGGCATAGTCGGCGACAAGCGATGGCAGCAAAAGTGAGAAAATATCATTAAAAAATACAACGAACAAAAGAGGATTTAATAAGATACCTTCAGGAACCCCAACGTGATTCTGAAATAAAGTAAATCTTTAACCTTTTTTTTAATCATTAAAATGCTATTTTTAGATAAGTTGTCAGTGCCATTTTGGGGAAAGCGGGCCGGTATGATTTTTTATCGCATTTCAAGCACTGGCAAATTTAAATTTTATGTAAATTGAATGATAAAAATTGTCTTGGAATGCGGACATTTTGAAATTCTCTATAGATGTATGTATGGACGACCCGGTTAAAAAAAAATTACCGCATAGATTTACAATCGTCCGCGCATAGGAACTTTCTTTTTCAGTAGATTCGGAAATTATTAAGCAAAATTAGAACTTGAAACTTGTAATACATAAAAATTCGTAGTAGAAACGGTAGCGGGTCATAAATCCCAATCTCGGCTTCTTTTATCATCATCGAGTGTCAAGAAATACTACTAATACTACTGAAAAGTGCTAGGGATTTTTTACATTATGTCTCAAACTATATCATCTTGACTTTTGACGTCAATTATCGAAGTAAAATAAAACACCTGACAGAGACAGAACATCAAGAACCGACTATTAAGCTATTTAAAAAAAGTGCAATACCGCATTTTATCAGTTCTCAACTGCTTTATTATTAATTACATTTAATACAATTTACAAGTTCTGCATTTGTATTTCGATGATAGTTTAAACTAGAGTACTTCGCAGACAACACCCAGTTTGGAATAAATTTCTCTTCTGACCTAGCGTGAATTATGATTATGATTTTCCTTTATTTGAAAGTGCTTTTGTCTGACAGTTCTTAATGGAATCAATCCATCCTTTGGATACTGTATCATGTGGATCAAAACAAGTTTCATCTAGGTACATTTGGATTTGGTTTTTGGATCTATAATTTCATGAGGGTAATTAATTCTCCAATTGCGCAATGTGTCAGATTTTATTACCACTTGTTTTTTGTCTACTTTGCGGTATTTAAATGCCCTGGTACAAAAAACTTAATGCCACGGCTAATAATTGTTTTTTAAATTTCTTCTAACTTCGTATTCAGTTTATCCAAAGTAGAAACAATCTGGTTTTGATAAAGGCAATATATTTTCCGTCCGTCTGTCATATTTTGTTCACTATTGTCCAGACGGTGGGATTGAAAATCACTACGTTTTTCCTTTTAAACTTCTTGTTTGATGAATCCTCTACTCAATAAACATTCATACACTTGTTTGCACAATTTGTTTTGAATCTAATGTAATTTCGACACGATATAACGGAAAAATTAGTAATATATTCGTAAGAACCTTTCTCGAAACGCATGGTAAAAAGTATTGGTTGCTGGATTTACTGAGTATATTTTGGGGGAAGACGATATAATTTGAGACACACTATACGCTAATATTTTGATATTTTGACAGAGTGTATATTTGGTCCTGGAAAACAGAAAGTTTTATATCCAGCAAAGCAAATTCAAAATTAAAACGATGGTGAAAAACGTACGTGATCGATTATTCGCTCCATGTTTTCCACACGTCCTCTATCCGTGGGTTAAATGTAGCGTAAAATTTAAATCACGTACACATTTTAACACTTTCCCGGGGTACTGATTCGGCTGGACGTACTGATCAAAACAACCCGCGGTCGCATCTGTAAACCACTCGATTGTCGATAACGAAAATGTTTATCGTCGCGTTCTCAGCGGTCTGCGGACAACTTCTGCTTATCTGTCATAGGTCTAGGTAAACCGTAAAGCAATGTTTGCATAAATCGAGGAATAATAATCATCGTTGCATATTACCTATTGTTCAATTACTCATCCGCGCGACTTTTTGTTTATTTCTGCTTTGACCATTGCGTTTTTCGAAAACGTAATTGTATATAGTCGGAAAATTATCTACATTAATAATAAATACGTAACTACATAAAAGCTCAAGCTGTCCATAAATAAAAAAAAAACAGAAATCAACGA